GGGGTTGATTGGATAGGTGTAAGATACTTGTTTGGGAATTAACACTAGTTACTTCACTTCTATGGTTCAAGTGAGTCTCTCGAATTCACTCTATTATATTCAAACATTCAGTAGAAACTTCTCTCTCGATTAAGTCTCAACCTTACGATATGAACTAAGTTAAGCTTGGTGAAGATATGCAAGAATTCGTAGTGGATTGATCCTTAGGAGAACCTCTTTCGATTATCCTTCTAACTAGGTCTAAATATTAATCCAACTAGCCTCTTTCGATTACTAACAAGAATCAATAAATTAAACCAATAAGATAATGCCAAACATTACAAATTATACCTCTTTCGATTACATAAATAAGTGAATATATATGCAACAATAAAAATACCCAAAATGCTTCAATACATAAAACTAGAGTTAATATCCACAAACAATTCTCAAAACACCAAATCCATCAATCCCTAAGGAAGAATTACTCCATGGATATGGATAAATTTATCACAATTAAGTTTAAGTTAAAGGAAAACATAAAACATCCAAACCCTTGTCTTGAGTGAGGATGAATGGTAAAATCCTTGTGCTCTTGCTTCTCCCTCTTCTCCTTAGCTTCCTTAGGTCTAAATTATGTCAAAAGTCCTCAAAATACCATTTTTCATGTATATATACCAAGTATAGTCGGGCCCAAACAAATACACCTTCTCCTACGCAAAATAGGACACTTTTCCGGAGTTGTACATGCACGGCCGCACACCTGGAAGTGTACCCGCGCACTTGGCTGCACACTTTTCACCCTGTTCTGCCTCATATATGCGGCCAGTGCGCGAATGCGCATGTGGGTTGGGTTCTATTAGAAATTTGGTAAAACGTAAAACATGAAAGTTTTAGCCCTTTTAAATAGCTTTCTAATGATATATTGTGGAGCCCAAATGAAGTTCCGAGCGAAAGGTTATGTGCATTTTACTGGACGCTTCACAATATGCATGCTCGATTCTTCGTTTTATTCCACTATCATCCGTTGATCCCCGAATACGATCCTGACTTAATACTTGGGCTTTTACTCGGACTTCAAAACTCCTGAATAGATTGAATTTAGTCCATAACATCTACATAGATTGGAATCACTCCTACAAGGTATAAAGCACATAATTAGTACAAAACACTAGCGATTAAAGCTCCAACTCAATTAAAGTGCAGTAAATTAGAGTGCGATAAGTGAGTAAAATATGAGATTATAGCCTACTATCATTATCCTCCTCATCGCCTCGTTAAAAACCTCCTCGAGAAAACCCAATTGGGACAAAACTCGAGTGAGGGAAAAAGAGTGCGACTTTGGGGACCTCGTCCTTTAAAAGTTGAAGTACTTGAGGTGTGTAATATTCCAGTTGTTTGGTAGTCACTTTCCTTCCAATGTTTCTAGTGTGAATGAACCTTTGCTTGCTGCTGCCATGATTTTGTAGGGGTCATCCCAGTTTGTTCCTAGTTTGCCTTCCCGTGGGTCTTTGCTTGCTTGTGTTTTAGCTTTAAGCATGTAGTCCTTGACTTTAAGTGGCCTGATCTTTTCCCTCTTGTTATAGTAGCGTTCTTCTTGTTGCTTTTGGGTGACCATTCTTACATAGGCCATATCGCTTCGTTCCCCGACTTTTCTACTATCATCGTTCTGGGTTCCGCTTTCGCGGAAGTATCTTAGAGTATTGGGCTCCCCGACCTCGACTGGTATTAATGCATCAGTCCTATAGACTAACGAGTATGGCGTTTCCACTGTGCTCATTTTTGGCATTGTTCGGTAGGCCCAGAGTACTTCTAGTAATATCTCTGGTCACAGTCCCATGGCATCTTCGAGTTTCTTTTTCATGATGTTAAGTATTGACTTGTTGGAGGACTCTGCTTGCCCGTTACCTACGGGGTGGTAAGGCGTTGACAATATTCTTTTGATGTGCTATTTTTCAAAAAAGTCGGCGACCTTCTTTCCTACAAATTGAGATCTGTTGTCGCAGCTGATTTCTTTGGGGAGACCGAAGCGGCATATGATGTTCTTCCATATGAAGGCGATTACTTCATGTTCGCGTATTTGTACGAATGCTCCTACTTCCACCCATTTAGATAAATAATCAGTTAAAACCAAGACAAATCCTAAGTTACCTCGTCCTGCCGGGAGGGGGCGAGGTAGGTGTTCGCCTGCTTGGTGGATCATTGGAGCGCACTTCTGGCAGTGCTCACATTTTTTCACGAAATCTGTGACCTCCTTTTTCAATGTGGGCCAGTAGTATCCTGCTCGTATGAGGCACCTGACCAAAGCTAGATTGCCGGAGTGAGCTCCACAGTGGCCTTCGTGCACTTATTCAAGGACGTGCCGCGTCTGATTTGGGCCCAAGAATTTCGCCATGGGGAGCCATATGTCCTTTTGTATAGGTCATTGTGAACAATGCTATACCTGGGTGCTTGCATTCACAGCTTCTTGGCCTCTTTTTTAATCATTGGGGAGTATGTCGTCCTGCAAATATGTAATAATATGGTTGCGCCAGTCCCAAGTTAGGTTTATGGTTCCTTCCTCGATTTGGTCTATCGACGAGTTGATGAGGTGGAACATATTTTGGTCTCCGGTTGTGATTTTTTTGGTGGCTGCAGCTAATTTGGCGAGGCCGTCTACCTCGATATTCTGTGCTCTGGGAATCTGGTCGAGCTGACATTCGTCGAACTCGGGTAGTAGTTTGCAGATTTCGGTCTGGTATTTTTGTTACCTTTGCTCCTTGATTTGGAAAGTCCCTATGACTTGATTGACCACAAGCTGAGAATCACAGCGCAACCTTAGCCGCTTCGCCCCATATTTGAGTGCTAGTCTTAGTCACGCAATTACGGCCTCATACTCAGCCTCGTTGTTAATCATTTTCGGGCACCTTATGGACTGGCGAATCACTTCGCCTGTTGGGACTTCGAGTACGAGTCCCAGCCTGGACCCCGATGCGTTAGATGCATCATCGATGTATAGGACCCAGAGGTCGTGTATTTGGGAAGAAGCGTGGACGGCTTCCTTTTTGATTTCGGGTAGTATGTGTGCACTGAAATTGGCAACAAAGTCGGCGAGGACCTGAGACTTTATCACAGTTTACAGTCGATATATAATATCGTGCTTGCTTAGTTCGATGACGCATTTGTCCAATCTTCCCGAAAGTTCGGGTTTGTGTAAAATGCCTCTTAAGGGGAAAGTCATGACGACCGATATGGGGTGGTATTGGAAATACGGTCTAAGATTCCGTAAAGCTATGATAAGGCCAGAGCCAGCTTTTCAAGATGGGGGTACCTCGTCTCGGCGTCGACTAGTGTCTTGCTAATGTAATAGATGGGAGATTGTATACCTTTATTTTCTTGGACTAAGATTGAGCTGACAGCTACTTCAGACACGGCGAGATAGACGGGGAGAGGCTGTCCTGGTTCCGGTTTTGAGTGCAACGGTGGTGAGGACAGGTACACCTTTAACTCCTTTAGTGCTTGGACACACTAAGGGGTCCATTGGAGGTCGTTTCTTTTTTAAGTACGCCGAAGAACTTGTGGCACCTATTGGAAGATCGCGAGATGAACCTTAACAAAGCGGCGATATGGTCGGTTAGTTTTTGGACTTTCTTTTTGGTGGTCAAGTGCTTTGGTATACCCTTGATAGCCTTGATTTGTTCTGGATTGACCTCGATACCCCACTGTGACACTAGGAAACCCAAAATTTTCCCTGAGGCCACGCCAAATGCATATTTCTCGGGGTTTAGTTTCATTTTGTATTGCCTGAGTATGCCGAAGGCTTCTCTTAAATGTTCGATGCGATCTTCTTTCAATTTTGGACTTGACCAACATGTCGTCGATGTATACCTCAATTGTTTTTCTGAGTTGTTCTTTGAACATCTTCATCACCAGCCGTTGGTAAGTTTACCCCGCAATTTTCAATCCGCAAGGCATGACCTTGTAGCAGTACGTCCCCTGGTGGTTGATGATGGTGGTCTTTTCCTGGTCCTCTTCCTCCATAAGGATCTGGTTGTATCCCGAGTAGGCATCCAAGAAACTCAGCAACTCATGCCCGGCTGTCGCATCGATAAGCTGGTCAATATGAGGTAGCAGAAACGAATCCTTGGGGCAAGCTTTGTTCAGGTCGGTGAAATCTACGCACATATGCCACTTGTCGTTCTTCTATTTTACCATGACCGCATTGTTGACCCATTGGGGGTACTTCGACTCTCTGACAGAGCCATTTTCCAATAATTTTTCCACTTCTTCGCTCACTACGTCATTGATTACGGAATTGAACTTACGTCAAACCTGCCTTACCGGGGGGTAGAGTGTATCGACGTTCAATTTGTGTGTGGCAATATCCTTTGAGATACCTGGCATATGTGCATGGCTAAAAGCAAATAAGTCCGTGTTAGTAATTAGAAATCTGCGAAACTTACCCGGTTCTTGGAGTTTGCAGCCGATGTAAGCTTTCTTGCTGTGGTCGTTGACGTCTAGCTGAACGGGGTTGAGGTCCTTTATGGTCAATCCTGTGGCCTCAACCACATCAGGGTCTCTGATGAAGTCCTCAATATCGTCGCCTACCGACCTCGATCCTGTTGATTGCTATGGTTCCTTCTCTTTATCTCTCATTTGTTGGGTGGTCGTGCAGTCTAGGGCGATGCGGTAGCACTCTTGGGATGTGCGTTGTTCCCCGCGTATATTGAATACGCCCCATGGAGTTGGGAATTTGATGACTTGGTACAGGCTAAAGGGTATGGCTCTCATGGAGTGTATCCACGGTCGCCCTGTTATGGCGTTGTATGTCGTGTCCTGGTCCATGATGTGGAATGTGGTCTTCAGAGTGACGCCACCCGCCAGGACGAGAAGTGTGATCTTGCCAGATGTTCATTCAACTACGCTGTTAAAGCCTATTAGTGTGATGCAGCGTGGTACTATCTTGTCCTCAAATTTCATTTGTGTGAGTACTCGGGGATGGATAATACACGCGCCGCTCCTGTCATCTGCCATAATTAGTCTTACGTCGGTATCTAAAATTCATAAAGTAATAACAAGAGCGTCATAGTGAGGGAATGCCAAACCGTTGGTATCTGACTTGTCGAAGATGATACTTTCTTCTAGTTTATCATACCGTTCGTGGGTGATCGACCGTTTGAGCTTGTGGGTCGTGGTGAACTTCACGCTGTTGATGGAAGCATCGTCTCCACCTCCGATGATCAAATGGATGGTGCGGGCTGGCGAGGATGGCTTCAGCGGCCCTTGATGTTGTTCGCGTCCCCTGGCAAAGTTGGTCCTTCCTCGATCGCTCAACAATTCTTTGAGGTGTCCCTGTCGCAGCATGTTTACGACCTCCTGTCTTAGGGTGATGCAATCTTTAGTTTTGTGTCCTTGCTCTTGATGGAACTCGCAGAGGGCGTCTGATTTTTTGGTATTCGTGTCCGACCTCATCCTTTGTGGCCACTTAACCTTTAGTCCAAGCTTCTCCAAGGCGTAGACGATCTCTGTAGGTGACACGCAAAAATTGTGAGCGGATAGTAAATGAGGCATACCTCTTTCATTCGGGTGAGTCCATGTTCTTGATCGGGGTGGGCCTTCTTCATGGCGAGGTGAGGATACAACGGTAGTTCTGACATATGGGAGATGCGATTCCCGGTTTGGCCATGAGGTTGCTGGATCTATTTTGATATCACTTCTCCGATCTTTCCTGGATTCTGCTTGTACTGAGGTCAGTAGATGAGTCGGCCCATTGAGGTCGTCTTCGTCTGCTTAAACTTCGGCACAGTATGCATTATGTATTTCGTCCCAAATTATTGGGGGGGTATTTCATAAGCCGACTTAATAATTTTTTTGTCGCTCTTGAACCATTTCTGTTTAGCCCATTTTGAAAAGCGGCTACCTCTATTCCTTCTGATACATTGGGCAAAGTCATTCTTACTTGGTTGAAAAAGGCGAGGAAGTCCCTCAGTCCTTCTCTCGGGTACTGTTTGATATCAAAGATATCATTCACTCTTTCCTCGGCCTTCTTGGCCCCGGCATGGGCCATCACGAACTTATCGGCCATTTCCTCGAAGGTTTCGATGGAATGAGCTGGCAGTTGCGAGTACCAGGTTAATTCCCCTCCCGTGAGGGTTTCGCTGAATTTCTTCAGCAGAATGGAGGATACTTGTTCTTTGACGAGGTCATTGCCTTCGTATATTTTCAGGTAAGGCGTCATTTTGAAAGTTTTTGGTTTGACATGTAAGGCAGCACTATCACTGTACGGTTGCTCAACGAACCGACCGGCATCTCTCTTTAGCAATAACTTAGGAGCTCCCGGTATTTTATTGACCCTTTCTTGGTGCTCTTTCATTTGATCCTGAGGTGCCTTGTTCTCATTTTTCATTTCCTCCATCTTTTTCAGAATGGTTGTGAGAGCATCATCGCGTGCATTGTTAACAACATTGTGAGTGATACCTATCGTCACGGGTGGGGGGAAAGTTGATCATGTCGCTCGTTCACTGGTGGTGCATCACAAGTTCTCGCATTTACTGCGCGCGGCCGCGTCCTGAACGGGTTTATGGAGAATGCTGGTCAGTGTATCAGTCAGCCAAGCCTCAAGGAGTTTCTTTATCGCTGGCAGCGTCTCCTTTCCCACGGATGTGGAGGCTGTCTTGCCAAGGGATTTTGTGATGCTGCANATCCACCTCACCTAGGGGAGGAATTGGGCGTTGTGTCCTGGTCCACTGCTTCAAAGCTTTCATGGATGATGTCCATAAGGTTGGTTGGGAGGTCACTCATTATTCTCGTTCTTTCTTTTCTGTTACCTGCCATGTTAGATCTGTGCATGCAGAGAGAAAAAAAGGTTCTTCTTTTCGTTTTTTTTACGTCAGCAACCAGTGATGGTAGTAGATCTAGAAAAAACTGAAAGACTTAGTTAGAAAATCCTCACAGACGGCGCCAAATTATTTGACCAAAAATTTTAATCTCCGGTTAAACTATTAAATTTACGTAATATGGGGTTAAATATAACTAAGGATAATAACTCTAGATATTAAGTACAAAAACGTATAGTAGATGTGATAGATTCCGTATATGGTTGGTGACAATAAATGTAAAATACTCTTAAAGCAAGAACATTAAGGGTGATATAACTAACAATAAATGGTATTTAAGTAAATAAAGAAAATAATTCACCCAATAATGGATGGGTGGGACGAATATTTTGCCTGACAATGATGAATGACAGATAGATCCAAGATTCGCATGAACAATCCTCGAATTTGGTGGAAAAGTGGGGAATAATATATGAACAAGAATATTTATAAAAAGGTAATCTTTGTATTTTTGCAAGAGAGAGAGTGTCCTCTTCTCAAAAGTATTCTTCTCGGAATGAATATTACATGCCCCTATCATTGCCTCTTCTTTCTATATATATGAGGCATTTTTTCTAGGAAACCCTAATAGTACAAAAGCAGAGAATATCCACTAGAATATTCTCTTTTAGTACCCTATCCTTACAAATTAGCCGTTACAAGTCTTATCATCAATAGTCAATCTCGACCTTGACCCTCACTGATATCTACTGCGATCTGTCGATATCTCGATCACGACTCATGTCGGCACCTCGGCCATTGACCTCGCAGCGCCTTGGACAAGCTCGACCGATAATTTTCTTTAATGCCATATTACGCTAGATATTCTGAAAAAAGATTTTGGCCTATACAGTGTTGAGTAGCGTATGATAGATGACTGTCATTTGACTTAATTAACCTTAAATAAATGAGGGATGGAGTTTAAAAAAGAAAAATTCTAAATTCGAGTTTTTCAATTATTTTCTGGATTGTTGCAAATTCTCATGCTTATAGTCTTGAGTTATCAGACTTTTTGCTTTCAATATTTCATGAACCAACAGCCAAGGCCACATATAAATATTAAAACTACAAAAAATAAGGGTGGTGTATAATTTTCTTGAATAAAGAAATTGTAACGTGTGTCTGTGTGTACATCCAAAGTAATCAAATATTGTTAATGAATGCATGAATTTCTCCACTCTGATTGGTCTATTCTGTCCAATCAAAATAGCTTGAAAGATAGTGCCAATCATTTGCAAATCCTTCAATATCTTTACCCAAAAACTTTAATAAAAACAAAAGCATGTGGGACATTTTTTATGGAGAGTTGCACAGAAGACCCAGTCTGGAAGCATCAGCTATGGACGGTAAAATTATAAAGAAAAAAAGTAATATAGAAATCTTTGAATGGAGAAAACTTTTATTTTTTCTGGATGGAGAAAGCATTGATTTGGACATATATTGGTCACTGATAATAACACGGTGGAATAAAATATTCCAAGTTACAATATACTGATTACCTTGCGCTTTCAGTTAGAATATTCTAAGAAAAGTTCTGAAATTTTGTTNATATATATATAAAATGTGATTTAGTGACCCCTTGTCATAATGAAAGTTTTTGGTGCAGTGAGGAAGGTGATCGAAAAATTGTTTCAGATCCCAAGTGTAGCATTTTTGCATTTTTTGAATCTTTTTGTTAGAATTTATGACTTCGCCATTATATAACTATGTAAGTTGTGCGTATTGAGATTAAACAGATATCATAAACAAGTTGATAAGCTAATGCAATTAGCACTGCACAGTACTCATTAGCTTAAAAGGCTCTTATCTTCATGATCTCAGATTTATATTACAAAAGTCAAGATCACACAATACTATATTTTGGGGGAGGGGAAGGTGTTCTTCTATATATCTTTAAGTTGCAGGCTTAATCTGGCATTACATGGGAAGTCATCTTTTGGTGAGTGCATCTCTAAGCGGCTTGTGATCTGCTCAAATCTTTCTGATAAAAAGAAACTTTGTAATCTCTTCAACTTTCTTGATACTCTTACTTGTGTGCTGAAAATTGCCTTCACTGGTCTGTGATCCGATAATCTTGATTCACCTCTTCCATACAATTGTTGCTTTAACCCTTCTCCATACCAAATTATCCTATCACACCTGATAATATAGTTCGACAAAATAGAAATTAAATCAGCCTTTATCATCTTTTTTTTTTTTGTTGCTATTTTAAATTAAGGGGGAAAATAACTCATAATACAATAAATAGTAGATTTGAACCCATAACTTTAAAAATATAATAAGTTCAACGCTCAAAACATTAAATGTTGAACTCATAGAGTTTAAATCTTGAATCCGCTTTTGCATATGTTCAAGTATTAAGCAAAGGGATGTGTAAAAATAGAACTTATTTATTGTGTAAAGAATTTTTACATTATCATGTTAAATTGACTTACATCAACGTGACAACCTAGAAAATAGAGTAAAAATATGCTATAACCAGTTAAAGTTAAACTACACAAATAGTGTAGAATTATTTATATTATACTCCCTTCTTTTATAAAAGATTGTTCTAGTTTGACCTGACACAAACTTTAATAAACAAGGAAAGATTTTTGAGTTATGTGGTCTTAAATAAGTCATAGCATTTGTGTGACTTTAGAACTTTTGAAATTTGTGGTTTTAAACCTGTCATAACATTTCTGTAGCTATAAATACTTCCTATTAGGGAAATATTGAAAGGTACCAATCTTTTAAAACTGAATAATAAAGAAATAGTGTCAATTTCCTTGAAACAGATGGAGTAATCTTTAACTTAAATTCTTAATGATACTGTCATCTATGTTTTATGCCATCTCTCATGAACAAGATATGCAGATGACACTTATATCCAGATACAAACACATACAAGAACTGCATTTTATTTGTGTTACTTGAATTACAAGTAAATAACAAACTTACCATGCAGGAGCACGTTTCTTTTCGCCTCTTTTCACCTCTGGTCTACCATAGTAATCACTCGAATTTGGATAATATTTGTAAGTAGGGGCAAATTTAATCTTTCCTTCTTGCCAACCTTCAAATACTTGTCCATCCATTAGCTCCATCTGCAACTATTTTATCATGACACATTTTAAAATCTTAGTTCTAGTGGTTTATTATTTGCTAATTACTGTATTTAGTTTACAAGAGAAACAGTAATCTTTAATTTTGATATTTAATCCATATGCTACCTGATCATTTTCCAAGAGTGCGTTCCAATCTCCTTTTTCCACTAATAATCTTGTCGTTGATTCTGGTAGAGAAATCCTGTAGTTCAAATCTCCAAGCAATATCACTCGGCTACAACCAACCAATTCACAAAATTAGGTTTAAAGTGATGTCATGAAGATATTAATTTTTTAAAATGATAATTGTGTTCTTTATGTAAAATTGATTGTGATGTCATGCAGATATATACTTTTCAAAATGATATTTGTGTTCTTAATGTGAAAATAATTAACTTTTCCTACCATTCGTACAAAAATAGTTATACTTTTGCAACTTGTTGAAAGTCAACCAGATTAAGAAAGAGATCTCTTCATATTTGCAAATTGCCCAAGTTGGAAATTGTCTTTTCCTTTTTGTATTCTTTTCAGTTGTTTAGCTACCGATTAAAGACTACTAATCTGACAAGATTATAATATGTTTATAAGGTAATTAAATAATCATGAAACGTTAATTGTGATTCGATTGGCGGCTTCAACTAACAAGACAATGTTTAACTCTTCAACAACCAATAATTAATTGGTTGTTAAGTTTAATTAACTGGACATACTCATGTCTTATTACCCTCAATATCTGCCATTGATTAGAGTTAACTAAAAAAGGCGATTAATCAAAGTAATAGTAACAAATCTTTTTTGGACGGTTTTATAAAATTAAGATAAATTAATGGACCTTAATTAAAATATTTGACATACTCATGATCTAGAATCTTTCTTGGTAATTCAAGGGAGGAGCCTTTTGGAAAGGCTGTTCTTGAAAATATTTCAGCAACATTTGCATTGCGAATCTTCTCATCTCCTTCTCTACCCCCAGAAGCTAGATGACTACACACAAAACATAAGCTTGTTTGATGCAACTGAAATCTAACTGATACTGCACCCTGCAACAGAAAATATTAGTCATAATTATACATAATAAAAGAAATTTTCAATACTGTCAATAAAATATTCTTGCAAAACCCCAAAAAAAAATTAAAAACTTAAAGAATAAACTTCCTTTTAGCATAAATTAAAACACGGAAATACTAAAAAATTATGTGAGTTTATATAAATTAGTTGTGCTAAATAGCTAATCAACTTTCATAGTAAGACAGGTGAAAATTTATCCTATCCAAAAATAACATCAATTTGAAAAGTCAGGTTACTATTTATGCGTTAAACGTAAGACAAGTGAAAAATTCATAGTCAAGTTACTATTTAAACGTAAAATAACCCAACTTCGCTAGCAACGGACAAATGAGCAATATAGTTCTTGAAAAAGAAAGACAATTTTCTTTCTTGGAAAGTTGGATTTA